TGGTCAAGGCACATACAAGAATCAACCAATAAATGCATAAATAAGTGGAACAACAAATCAATCAATCTCTCTCTCGCTTTCTTGCTCTCTCCTGCCTCTCTCCCTAAAATCAATTTTAAAAATTTGAAGAGGGCAAAGATTTCGGGGAATTTCAAAATCTCTCAGGAGGAAAGGCATTGTTTTTCTAGTTCTAATCCTTACTGAGATTTTTCTACTGTTTTAAAATCTGAGGTTTTATGCTTTTGCATAACTAAACTTGGAAATTACATATATATATATACACATGAAAAAACACATAAACTTTACTCACAGGCAAACTGAAGTATGGCCTCTCTACTAAGAATACTTCCAAATGTGTTGGCTGCTAAACACTGGTAATGGCCAGAATCTCTTGCTTCACTCGGATTGCTTATAATGAAGGTCCCGTCGATCAAACTGTAGCGATAATCACTTTCCAAATCAATTTCTGTTCCATTTCGAAGCCATCTAAGGAAAAATCAGAAGACAAATTGTGAAAATGACTTGAGACATTATAATACTCCCTGGAAGTGTCAGAATTTCATTGAAGGACATTTTTAAGACTTAAGAAAAATAAGTAACAGTGAATTTCTACCTGTAATTGGGGACTGGATTGCCACGAACTTCACAATTCAGTGCTACTTTCTTTTCATCAGAATCAGTTGGGAAAATTATATCATCTGGTTCTTGCACAAACACTGGCCCATAGTCCACACTTTCTGTAAGGACCAAGATAGATACACTTTAAAATTTCTTGAAATATCAAGACATATTTTTTTTTCCTCCATTATGTTCGCATTAAAAATTCTTGCTCTTTCCTTGTACTCCAAGGCATATTACCAAAAGAAAGGGTTAGCTATGAAATTATATTGTTTTAGTAGATTGCAGATATTTAAATAGATTTTTTGTAGTTGACTGAGAATTCTCATTAAAATAGGATATATATAATGGAAAACAAGCATTTCAAGCATTACTTTTGTATATTTTAAAATATATATCTTTATATTCATCTAAAGCAGAGTGTTATTATGTAAATAAAACTAAGCAAAATCATTATTTTAAAAACCTAAAAGTTTGTAAAGCTCTTAGAATGTTAAAAATAATATACAATAAAGGAAAAAGATATGAATTAATATTGTGCTACTACTTGGATACTACAGATATAAAAACATCAGTCCTTCATATATTCCTTTTTTCACTTATTCAATCAAGCACTACTTAGTGCTGATAATGCTGAAGTGTAGGGAGAAATCATGTAATACAAATAAATATATTGTCATGGAGTAAATAAAATATGTCCTCAAAAATGTAAATAACTGAATAAAAATGTCAAAACTACTGGTTATCAGTAAGTAAATAAGGTAAATAGGAGATCAGAAGAGAAAAGACATAAAAAAGGAGGGCAAAAAGGAAGAGTACTTAAATTTACTAAGTGCCTACTGTATGCCAGACATTAGATTCTATCTCATTTAATTAGTTAATACTCAGAGAAATTCTATAATAAGGTAATTTTAAACTAACAAAACTGTAATGGAAAAGTAGAAATGAATATAGGCTCCATATGTCCGGTTGGGCTTGAGGAAGACCAATCTGCTAGAGAAGTGATGAGTAAATGTGCTGTGGGAGTACGAGTCATGTTAGCCTGCAGTAGTGTGAGAATTTACAGAATTATATGCATACCTAGGATCTATAGTAACTGTTTACTTTATCTACACTAATAAAAGAGAAACATGCAAATTGGTGTCACTCGGCTACACCCACCAGCCAATCAGAGTGACTATGCAAATGAACCAAACAAAGATGGCGGTTAATTTGCATACACAGGTGCAGAGCGAAGACTGAAGGCTCTGGCCGGAGTAAAGACTGAAGACCGAAGACTGAAGAGGCTTGGCTTCTCCGCTGCGGTTGGATCAAAGGCCTGGGTCCCAGGTGCCAGAGGAAAACTGGTGCCAGCAGCCAGGGGAAGGAAGGCCTATTGCACGAATCTTCGTGCAATGGGCTTCCAGTTTTTAATAATCATGAATTTGATTGCATGATAACCTTAGATCAAGATTCTCACCTTGGTACATTTTGGGATATTCTGTGTTGTGAGACTGTCCTGTGCTTTGTTAGATATTTCCCATCATTCCTGGCCTCTATTCACTAGATTCCAGTAGCACACCTCCTCAACATAATAAATAATGTCTCCAGCCCTAACTAGTTTGGCTCAGTGGATAGAGTGTCAGCCTGCGGACTCAAGGGTCCCAGGTTCAATTCCGGTCAAGGGCATGTACCTTGGTTGCGGGCACATACCCAGTGGGGAGTGTGCAGGAGGCAGCTGAATCGATGTTTCTCTCTCACTGATGTTTCTAATTCTCTATCCCTCTCCCTTCCTCTCTGTAAAAAATCAATAAAATATATTTAAAAAATAAATAAATAAATAAATAAATAAATAAATAAATAAATAAATAACGTCTCCAGACACTGTTAAATATCCCCTGGGGTCAAAATTACCCTCTTTTAAAATAAGTGCCTTAGGAAAATGAAGAGGGGAAATTTTAGAAAAGCCGTATTTCCAATGTCTGTACTAAACAATTTGAAGTTTACTTGGTCTGTGGATAACCACAAGAAAATATAAAAAAAACTATGCAAAAATGTGAGCTTTAAAAAATTATAACTTAAAAAGTATACTTTCATACTTCAAATATAGGTAAATTAATTTTCTTTATTTAAATGCATGATAAGTCTATTATTTTGGGGCAAAGAAAATAAGTGCCATAATATTCTAAACATTCATCCAATAAAAACTGAGCACTCATAATGAGTAGATGATGGGAAGTATTTTCTTTGAGCCCTAGATAACCTAGATGAGGTTCTTTATCTTAACTCACAACAAAAAAATACTATGAAAATAACTGAAATGTATTTCTCTACACTAAATTATACCAATGTCACAAAACTTTTATTTAAAAATAAGGAAAACAAGTGATTGGATAAATAAATAACTAGAGAAAATTATTCTCAAAATATTGTAATTGTTTTTGCATCATAATTAATTTAAAAATTTGGCAAAGCACATGAAACCTCATTAAACTCTCAATTAGAGTTAAACTGTTCAATCAAGTTATGAAAAAATAATCACTTCTAATACACTGAAATGATTATTTATATACTAGAGGCCCAGTGCACAAATTCGTGCATGGGGTGGGGTGGGGTGGAGAACAAGACCACGGGAGGTTGGCCACCGGCCCCGAGGAGGGAGATGACTCTTTGGCCCCCCTGGGAAAGGGGCCGCGTCCACCACCACCCACCCCCAGTTCCATTGTCCCAGCCTAGGCCCAAAGACCCTGGCAGGGTCTGGAGAGGAGGCGACAGTTGCCAGGCCGGACGCAGAAGGAACGGATGCTGGATGCCAATGCCACCCTTGGCATCCCACCACCGCCTCCCCCCCTCCTCCTTCCCTCGCTGCTGCACTGACACCGTGGGGCACGGGCAGCCCCTGGGGAAGGGAGAGGATGGGAGTGAGACAAACCCTTGTGTCAAGGGCTGACTTTCAATAGATCACAGTAAGGAAGCCGCTCTACTATGTATGAAACCCCGACCTGTTTCTGGGTCAGGTTTCTATGAATGGTTTAGCACCAGGGGCCATTGGGGGCCGGCCGGCCAGGAGAAGGGGCCACAGGAGCACACTGACCACCAGGGGGCAGCTCCTGCATTGAGTGTCTGCCCTCTGGTGATCAGTGCACGTCATAGCGACTGGTCGACTGGTCGGCCGGTCATTCTGGTCATTCGGTCATAACAGTCGCTTAGGCTTTTATATATGTATATAGATTATAAATGCCTGGGATATATAAAATTAACATTTAATAAATGTATTTTATATATCTATACATTATCAAACTCATGAGCTTTAGAGTCAGACATACTTTGGTTTAAATTCCAGTACCATCATTTTCTAGCCTTGAGCTACTTTTATCTTTTGCTGCTCAATTTATTAATTGTAGATAATAATGTCTCATTACAGTGTTATAATGAGGATCAATGGACATTAACACTTATAAATAAATACACAGTAACTCATAAGTACTCAATAAATGTATGTGCAATATGGTATGTAATATAACCATGTGGCCAGAACTAAACCACCCCCCCCCCGCCCCATTTTATAGATGACAAAACTGAGGCTGAAGTCAATTGACTGAATGTATATAGCAAATAGATGATGAACCTGGAATACAAATCCAGAACTGTTGGTATCTAGAACCTAATTGCCACTGCTACAATTTACAAAGCACTTTCATATTATTTAATTCACTGAGCTGAGAATTATAATTATTTCTAATTCAAAGATGAAAACTCTGAGGTTCTGAGAGACTTCTGCAAAATTAACCACAGACTAAATGGTTGACTTTATTTATTTTTTAAAATGTATTTTATTGATTTTTTTACAGAGAAGAAGGGAGAGGGATAGAGAGTCAGAAACATTGATGAGAGAGATCGATCAGCTGCCTCCTGCACGCCCCCCAGTGGGGATGTGCCCACAACCAAGGTACATGCCCTTGACCGGAATCAAACCTGGGACCATTCAGTCTGCAGGCCGATGCTCTATCCACTGAGCCAAACCGGTTCGGCAATGGTTTATTTTAACTAAGGTTCTTTGGTGTCAAATCTTATGTTCTTAAAAATGTCAAAACAGACAAGAGGAATAAAAGATTGTCAGTTTGGAGAATAGCAGAGGGGTATGACTTGCTAAATTATGGACTGAAAAACAAGTGACTAGTCTGAACAACATTTATTCTATCACTAGAGGCCCGGTACACAAAATTTGTGCACAGGGTGGGGTCCCCTCAGCCCAGCCTGCACCCTCTCCAATCCAGGAGCCCTCGGGGGACATCCCTCTCAAGATCTGGGACCACTGGATCCTAACTGCTCACCTGCCTGCCTGATCACCCCTAACTGCCCCCCCCTGTCGACCGGGTCACCACACACAGACTGCCATTCAGTTGCTTGGTCGTCCCTCACTAACCCCCCTGCCGGCCTTATCGCCCCAGGCAGCATGCTGGTCATTACTGTTATTGTGACGGTGTCCTGGACAATTTGCATATTCCTCTATTATTAGTATAGATGACTGTCCATACTCTGTATCTCTGTTTTTCATTGTCAACTCCAAAAGCATGTTAGCATACACTCTCTCATCCTTTCTCTCCTTCTTTCAGTTTCCTCTTAGAAATAAAGTTCATTGTAAGGGGTGAAAAAGCATGTGTCTAGGTAGAGTGTACCAATTCCCAGCAAAGGGTCGCTATGATGCACTGACCACCAGGGGGCAGACACTCAACACAGCAGCTGCCCCTAGTCCACGGGCCTCAACCTCTGGTCACCCTACAGAGGGAGGTGACCAGCAACGGTGGTGGCAGCAGGAGACGGGGCTAATAAGTGGGCGGCACCAGGCCAACCAAGGCTGGTGCAAGCGGGGGCCCAGATCACTCTGCCAGTCACCCCACAGATCGGCCCTGATTGCTGGCCAGGCCTAGGGACCTTACCCGTGCATGAATTTTGTGCACTAGGCCTCTAGTTATAATCTATGATAATAAAAGCATAATATGCTAATTAGATCAGACAGCCAAACAACCTTCCGGACAGCCTTCTTTCCAGACAAAGCCATAGGGGGCGGGGGCCGAGGCTGAGGTGGAAGAGACTCCAGGCCGTGGTGGCAGCGAGTGGGGGCCGGGGCCAAGGCCCT